TCATAAAATAGGGAGCACACATTGCTACAAAACAGTAAGGTTCCGGAGAATTTGAAAATATACGTTCGAGTTCATGGAATTAAGTCAGAGGTAACATATGAAGGTGAGGAATGATGGTGGAGGTTATTCGAGTGGAGGTATGATGGACGTGGGAAATCCGGGTGAATACTGCATCATTATTATTATTGTTTCTGCATGTGTATCCGGTACGTTAATCAGCTGAACTTCAAAAAAGTTTGCAACGGAAAAGTCAATAGGAACATAAAAATTTTGTTTACATGGAAGTACCACTTTATTGAAAAACTCAAGTAAATCCTATCAGAGCCGAGCCAATCAATCAAAGATGAACTATTCACATTGCATAGAATACACCATCTTTGTATTTTGCAGCTTTGCCCGGTACTGGCTTCATTTTTAACGGAACTAGGCGATGATAGAAAGCAATGATCAACACATGTGCCAGACCCAGTGTACATATCTGCGTGACGATCACGTATTTGTAGCCGGAATACTCGAACAAATACCTGAAAATTCAAACTGAGTGAGCATAAAATTAGCTAGAAGTCATTCTGTCGCCAGATTGAAGTTAATGATCATCAGATCAGTAACTCCAGATCAGTACTCGATTCATTTTTCATTTATTTTTGTTGCTGAATGGACGAGTACACGATGATGTGTCGATGCAAATTGTGTCCATCAACATGACACAACAACAGCAAAAGTAGGCCACTTTGCAAAACTTATGTGTGCGCGTAGATATTTAAGAGCAGAAGATACGATAGGCATCGGGATTGAAAACGAGGTGATCTCCGGTGGAAAAGAAAACCCAAAGGAAGCAATCTAAAATCGTGAAGTTGAAACCTTGTTCTTTTTGATGATTGCCAACGACTGCCGACACAATCACAGTATGCTCCCTGTTCGTAAAAATGGTCACAGGTATCAGGATAAGCTACCAGCCAATCAAAGGTGGAATGTGTCACGAAAGGTGTCACTGCTTAGGTAAGACCTTATTGGACTGCCATGGGCGCATGTGCTTAAATGAAACGCTATATTCTCGATGTCTTGCTCCATCATTCCTTGATATGAGGTGGATTTACCTCTCCTTAAAGGCGAGCCTTGGAGCTGAAACTGGTGTCTAAGAGCGTGTCTTCGTGATGGTGCGGAGTGAACTGAAAGTGGAGAAGAAAGCAAGAGAAACTATCGAAAATGCTAGAATTGAGGGCAAGAACCCCACGAAGGTCGGATATCATACGATTTAGAGACTGAGCGATCAATGAAGACAATACGCGCCAAAGAGCGCGGCGTACGAAGGAGTGCGCTGGTCTCTACAGTGGGATCGACGAAAGCAAGTCCGTAACCAGTAACACCCTAACAGCGCATTTTAGGCGATGAAGCTGGCACGATCTGCAGGTGCGCCCTAACACATTCACTCGCGGCGTTCTTCCTACTAGTGAGCCTATTCTCTTGCCTTTACGGTCTAGCTCATAATATGTTGTGATACCATCTGCTTTTGAACTGGTAGCACTAATTTATTTTCGTGAGAACCGGCTCCCCACTTCAAAACAAACTAAACAAAACATACGTTGTTAGAATAGGGGCCATGCACTGGGCGATGCTTCCACCGAAAGAGTAAATTCCCTGCATCGTTCCCTGGAATCTGAGTGTATTAATCATTGATTGCATTGCGTCTTCATCGTTTTTTTTTGAGCCAATACAGTAATTTTGCAGATGTGGTGGCAGCTAAACTTGTTTCTAAATTAGTAACAGATAGAGGTTAGTTAAGGGTTTTTTCTGTCGTCCATTGATTTGGCTGCCCTATCGGCGGATACATCATTCCTTCTGTTTCTGATTTTTTTTCTCATTCTGAACTTTGTTTGGATGCATAAATATTCGGCTAATCCTCATGTTTCGGTCTTCTGGCTCTTCCCACCTGCTTCCTAAGCGTTCCGAGGTCGGACTCAGAGACAAATATGAGCATCTTTGCGGCTATTCCCTAGGAGGAGTTCGCATCCAATAGAGAGCGGTCGAGACATGGGAAAAAT